GACATCCTAAATCACCTAACGAGGGAGGGGGAATTAAACTTAATTTAAAAGAAAAATAGGGACATAACTAAAAGGGGACAATGAGCATACATACCCTAGCTAAGTTTATAGAAAAAGGAAACTAAAAATTCAAATAACCAAACCTAAGCTAACCTAGGTTTCCATATGGGTTGCCCGTGTTCAACCCAGGAAAAGCAATATCCTGATGCCTAACCGGCATCAAAGTGCCACTCCGGGTCAGCCCCTTTCACACGACACAAACGCGCAAGATTTACCCACCTCTTGCCGATTTCTGATGAAGTCTCACTTCGCCGTCTTTCCGTCCTAATCTTAACCATAAGCCGATGCTTAAAGTATAAGATCAGTTGGGAAGAAGTGAACATAGAATCCCTTCTGACGTGTCGTGCAAATCACGACTCTCATAACACCTAGTAAGCATAAGAACACATAGTGTTCAGCCCTCGTCAAGGGCGGAGCTACAAACAGAAGCGGCCTCAAGACAAAATAATTTTCCAGACAGCATGCGAACCATGAGGCCTTCAGCATACTTGCACAGCAGTGCTATCACCGAGCAATGAAAAAAGGCGTGACCAATGGTCTCGACCTCCCCACTACAACGGCGGCAGTTTGGATATTTTTCCAAGCCCGCTAAGCAAAGTCTTCTGGCGTTCAGAGGGCCCCACGAATCACCAGCCAGGTGAGTGATGCCTCATTGTTATTGAGACATTTCAACCCGGGCGCCCAAGGCCATATAGAGTGAGCCTCCCGCTTCGTAAGACCGAGCTCGTCAATCAAATCAAGAACGGCCCCCCCCCTAACTAACACCTGATATAATGCCTTACGAGACAACGCCTGGGCGTTGGAGAGGCCATTCAACGCCCATAAGAGTCGTTTCAGAGCACGATGACATTCACGGTAGAATGAGCACTCGGCTTTGGGTAAACGGTGAGCCTCCTCCTCGGACGAGTGCACACTTCTCAAGGATGGGAAGTTTTTACGGGCGTCTTCCTTCCAGAAGGCGCCCACATCATCCGGTTCGCGATAAGCAAGGAGGCCAACTCTGCCTTAGCTAAGACTACGTCCCCACTATCACTGGATTTAATCGCTCGATCAACTTTTTGCTCACAAGCCGTTTGCGCCGCTAATCTATCTAGATTGAGCCGACGACTATAATCAGCAGCAAACGTTCTAATTTTGGATTTAAGTTTATTTCACCAGGCATTTCCCACCCCAGCCCCCGTCAGTTCCCTTTGTATCATTAGTAGCAGCTGATCCCGGAAATCTTGCAGCTGATCCCGGAAATCTTGCTCCCCAAATAATGAGCAGTTCAATTTCCAGTAACCAGCCATCTTAACCTTAGGCTTATCTAAGTTTACACAGACCCGGACTAGCCTATGATCCGAATAAACTGGAAACTTGGACACCCTAAGAGCCCTACATCGACTCTACTAACTAAGACTCGGTCCAGGTAGCTAGAAAGCACCTGAGTACCCGAGCTGCCACTATTAGTCCAAGTCCACACTACCTCCCGAAGGTGTTCATTTCGGTACTTATCGACAGGATCAAACCTGTCGATAAAGTCCCGAAATGGTTTCACGTCCGGGTTGTTAGTACCCAATTTTGACCCTATACGATCATTATCGGGGTCAAGGACGGCATTTCAATCCCCCGCTAAAACTACCCGACGAGATGACGCCAAGAACGGCTCGATCTGCCGAAACAAAGCAGGCCGCTCAAAATGCTTATTGGGCGTAATGAGACGTAGAGCCTTATCCTTTATGGTAACACCCAGCACGCAAAGTCTGCCCGTCGGATCTGCGAAGACAAGAGCACGCGCAGTCTACAAGGACTTGCTCACCAGCCAAGAGACACTCCCTCGAGCGTCCATTATAACATCATAACATTCTGAATAGAGGGAAAAGCCCTCTAGACAGAATGCTGTCATGATCGCGAGATGAAAAACGGGTCTCTTGCACACAACATACATCCACCCCGAGACGCTGAAGGTCACAATAGAGCCTCGCCCTTCGAGACTCACACCTCAGGCCTCGGTCATTCAAACTAGCTAACCAGAGAGACAGTCAGACTGATTAGGGTTGCTCTGCTGAATTAAACATGGCCGGGGAAAGGATACCGACAGCCTCTCCCATCGACCCATGGCCCATCTCAGTTTTGATGGTAACGTATTGGGAGAGACCGCCGATATCCCAGGGGAAGATCAATTTTTGTGCTCTATAGAGGGAGGGGTGAACGAAAACAGGAACCCGCCCAGCACAAAATTGTTTTAGCTTCTTTAATTTTTCGTTCTGTACAATTGCTATGTGAGGCGTCATTTTGAACGAGGCTATTGCCTCATCCAACATTGCCCAACATTGACGCGCTCCCGTGCCAGTTCTTATAACAGTCAATATCCGTTGGGCTTTTGGAAAGTTTTTCGGATTCTCGATGTCTTTGTCGGCGTATTGCTTAATGGAGAGTAGATACTTTAGGTTTTTAATCCTATTGCCATAATCCCTGGCTTTCTCAGCTTGAGTCGGGGAAATACGGCAGATGTCTTCTCCATTATTATAGATGTGTTTACGAAGTTTTTTTGTTTTGTCGTTTGCGTCCTGATTAGAATTTTTTTGTCTCTTACTCATAGGAGGGGGCATTTCAAGTGTGTTAAGGAGTGGTTTAAGGGGTGAAGGACTGGGAGAGGGACAAGGAGTAAAATTTTGTCTGAAAGGGCTGGGGTCTCTACTGAGAGGGATTGAGTAATGGCAGGAACGTATCTGGGCATGAGATGTGGAGGGAGTGACTTTTTCGATAGTAGGGGTCTTACAATGGCTGAGAGGAATTGATGGTTGGGAAGACTGTTTTTGTGAGGATGTGGAAGGAGTAGCTTCTTTCATAGGTTTGGTCTTTTTTGGGTGGGAGGGAAGTGTTTCTTGAGAGGAGGTAGCAGTAGTGGTCTTTTTAGATTAAGCGGCCTTTTGTGAATATAACTTTTCTTTCAATACTTGTTGTTGCGTCATTGGCATTAACAGCCTCCTGATTATCGGGGACTAATGCCGGGTATTCATCGGGATTGCTCTTATTGGGGGGTCTTTTTTAATGGAAAACAGATGTTTTCTTACTGACCTCTAAGGTCGGCCACTTTCGGTTTCTTCTTGATAATTAAAAAGGATGGTACACTTTTTTCCCATTTTCAAGGGAGGGGGAAGGGTGATAAATAAGGAAAAAATGGTTAAGTTTCACCTATAGGCAAAAAAAGGGTGGCAAAAGAAAATTTAAGTACCAAAGTTCAATAAGCAGACAAAAAAAGAAGGTAAAATTAAACAAACAAGGTTCGCTTAACAGCGAGACAACAAAATTACAAAAAACAAGGTTCGCCAGTGAGCGAGATTACAAATTCACAAAACAGAAGGACGTACAATAAAATTAAATAGACAAGGTTCGCAAAACAAATGGACGTACAAGTGAACAAGGTTCGCCCAAAGGCGAAACTACAAATTTACAAAACGACAAAGGACGTACAAAAAGATAAAATAGACACGGTTCGCCTAAAGGCGAAACAATTTAAACAAACAATCGGACATACAAGTAAACAAGGTTCGCCAAAAGGCGAAACTACAAATTTAAAACAAGTGCAAAAAAGGACGACAGACAAGAAAGCAACAAATAAAACGAACAGTTCTAAACGGAAAACAAATAAAATACGAAACGAAATGTCACAATTTGCAATATGGCTGTCGAAAAAACGGTCAACCGTAAAACAAAACGATAAACAAGGAAAGAAAAAAAAATGGACAGAAATACAAACTAAACACAAAATTTACAAACAAATATATTACAGACAGATAAAACACGGAAAATTAACGGTTATTTAAAAGATAAAACACAGAACAAATTAACACGTAATAAACAAAGGAAAATAAAGTCAGACGGAAAAACGAAAAATAAACAGATAAACTATGGGAAGTGGGTACGGGGAGAAAATAAATTCAAAAAAGGAAAAATAAAACGTAAAAGAAAAATGAAAAATTTAAATAATAAAAGATTAATAGAAAAATAAATTCAAAATAAAAATGGGGACGGTGAGGAGTTGAAAAGGAAAAATCAAAATTTCACAATACAGTCAAAACAAACGTGAGACAAACGGTAAAATCAAACAAAACTTAACAGAATAATCAGCAGTTAGTTCAAAGAGTCTAGGGAAAAAACGTCCAACACGGTCAGATGAAAGAATGAAAAAGAGAACGAGGCAAGAAGTTGCCCAGTATTTATAGTGTGGGGAGAGAGACTCCTAGTGAACAATTAGGGAATTAAGGAGAGGCTAACTTCGACAATACCCCCCCCCTTAGATTGACAGTTGTAGGAACGAAAACTTTTAATATGTAAAAAGTGATGAACTGAATAGAGAAAGTGTCCAAAATTGTTGACGCATGTTATTGAACATGATTTAAATGCTTGCTTTAATAACAATGGTCCGCGTAAATTCAGTGAGTCGAAATGCATGCGGAGTGAGAATGTCGTGGCGAAATTGAAAAAAATTGCGTATTAATGATAACTAAGTAATATTTAGTAAATATCGTCAGTAAATTTTAATGTGAAAGTTGCGTCTCGTAGAATGTATTCAAAGATTGTATCCGAAGATTGCGTCGCGTAGAATTTATTCAAGGATAGTGGTTTGTCCGAAGAATGTTTCACAATTAATGTCTTTTGTGCAGAAAAATTTTGTACATTAAAGGCCTGGTAAGCAATATTGAAATGTTGATAAGCAGTAGTGTGAAATGTCGCATGTGGTGTAGAAAAACATATTTAAGCATGTCTGCGGGGTGAAATTAGGTCAAACGTCACCGAGAGAAAGAAAGGGTCAAGCAAAATATAGACCGGTAGATGTGTTGCCTTGTTCGTGTCATAGTAGTAGCCATTCTAGTGGCGGTTAAGGCTTTCCACGTGTTGTAGAAAAATTCTGTCTGCCGCGCCGGAGACATGTGTTTTGTATACACATATTGTGCTTACGGTCAAATCACGCTGAAACACCGGTTCTCGTTCGATCACCGAAGTTAAGCATCGTAGAGCCAGGTCAGTACTTAGATGGGGGACCGCTTGGGAACACCTGGTACTCTAAGCCCCCAAAGTCCAACCCTTACCTCACAGTCGGTGGGGGGGTGTAAAACGGTAGTGTCAGAGCTATGCCGCCCGGAACTTCGTTCCTGGTAGGGCCACCCAAGGCGGACAGGTCTGACACAGACGCCGGCTAACAAGGGCTCTGGTGAAAATCCAAGGAGCGTCTGCATCGGTAACCGGCGGCTTCTGGTCGTTCCTGTCTCTGCGTCTGTGGGAATCCCGCGGCAAGCAAGAACGTTATTCGAGTAGGCCTGGGTACCCTACTTCTGTAATTTATCCCAAGAATCTTCTTCTCATAACAGGAAGAAGCCGGCTCAATCCGCCCAGGGTGAATACCGCATCAGTACAGTACAGTACAGTATACACATATTGTAGTGAATTAAAATTGTGATTTTGCACTTTCATCTGGTCTAATCACAAATTTTGTTGGTGTATAAATGATTTTTGGTTAATAGTGTCTGGCGTGCGTATTAGTTTTTTAATGTTTTGCCTGACTGGCTCTCATTTGGAAAGTGTGTGTAAATGTTTGTTTGTACATATATACAGTCTTGTTTCTGTTAGCAGGAGTTAAAAAGTCACGTCGGGAAGTCACCAATCTGTAGAGGACCGGGGAAGAAGAAGAAAAGAAAACAAACAAGACCGATATATATATATATATATATATATATATATATATATATATATATATATATATATATATATCAATTATATATGTATTAAACAACACAATTTTACAATGGACATAGACATTAACATTTGCGTGTGTGTGAACATTTGTGTTTGTTCTTTGGTGAATGTTCGTACGTATGTGTATGTGTGTAAAATGTTCATGGCGTCTTCCACAAATGGGAAACGCTATCTTTTTCCGAGAGCTCACATTGTAGAGGTGTTCGCTGAAATGAAGAAATGAAAAAGAGAACGAGGCAAGAAGTTGCCCAGTATTTATAGTGTGGGGAGAGAGACCCCTAGTGAACAATTAGGGAATTAAGGAGGAGCTAACTCCGACAAGTTGAATATTTTAACTTGAATTACAATGAAGTTTTCGTGTTGGAAATTCTAACTTTGTACTTCAATTATACAGGCGTCGTGGCAATTCCTAGTTGTGTAAAAATGATCACTGACGAGGTTTGCTTTGAATTTGTTTTTTAGTCACGTGATAGGATCACGAACACGTTTAGAAATTTTGGCGGTCAACTCACTTTAAACACTACTGCGTGGGTGTTGTTGCTGTTTTTCATATCTATTGACCAATCGGCAATAGCATTTACAAAAAACAATCTGGAACCAGTTCGTGTTTAGGATGTACGAAATTTGTTATCAGCAAGAGTAAATACACAATAAATCTACTCGAATATTTATTATTCAATGAAATTCACTAAATCAGAATAGTATGATAATTAGATACCGGAAATTGATGTATAGAGATTAAACTCTATAATTCCACCGCCACATGACATCCTAAAACATTGATGGAAGGTACCGAAATCACAGATTTCGATATATTAAGGATAATTTTGGTTTTCGCTATCGCCACCAGGTACCTTTTCACATTTGGTCATGTTACGATTGTGTGTGTCTTGCAATAGCAAATTTCATCAATGTCGCGTAGATTTTCTTTCTTTATTATTTTGTCTATAGCTCTCTGGAATGAAGTAGCCTCAATTTTGACCCCAAAATGAATTCTGCAAAACTGGAACAAGCGACCATTCGCCTCAAAAGCACAATATTTTCAATCCGATACTTTAAGCAGCACCTGGTGGTAGGCACTTTTGAAGTCGAGTGTATAAAAAATGCAAAGTCATTGATTATTTTATCAATTCTTGGTAGAGGATAAACGTCCATTTTTTTGTTTTTATGAAGGTGAGTGGGGTCCTTTACCGCTCGCCATGGAGAAACACTTTCTTCAATCATGCCTTCAGAAAGCAGGTTCCAAATTTCTTTATTGATGATGGACTGTTAAAGTGCCTCGACTTGCCGGCAATGGTTTTACAGTTTGGTTATAAATTGGGAAATAGTGAAGGGTTTTCTATTTCCGCCGCGTTTAATGCACAAACCTGACGACTACTGTTCACAGTTAATTTGAACAGGGTACCACCATATTTGAACGTCGTTTTCTGATGCTGACGCATAAAATCCTGACCAAGTATCAAGTCAGAACATACATTTTTCAAAACACCTAGACGGGTGGTAACATACAAATGACTGTTAAGGAAAAGGGTTAGATTTACAACTACATAGCCCGTTGAGTTAGTGTTTAAAGTTTTCTGGGCCATGGTGATACCCTTACTGGACTGGTAGACTTCCAAGTTCAGTTCTTGCATGACCCTTTCGCTGATATAACTATCAGTACTACAGGAATCGGGTAAAGCATTTAGTTTTTTTTTTATTAATCACTACAGCAGGATAGAGCTCCCGTGGTATGTTAGCAAGCGTGGTCAGTATATGAAGACCAACCACTGCTGCTAACGAAGATTTGGAGCAGTGTCCCTCCTTTGAGCATTTTTACAAGTAATTTTATGAGAAGGACAGCATTCCCACGAAAAAAGCATTAACGTTTGGCTTGACAAATCGTGCTGGTTCGACTGGAAATTCATGACATACCTTTGGGGTGGGGGGTGTCAAAGTCGACTATCGCAGCCATTTGTGCTTCTGGGGCAGTATATAATCATTATTTCTTTATGCTAAGTCCAGTGCAGACGCTGTTTGTATATCTAGGGTTTCTAAGAGACGTTGCCATATGGAATTCAAACTTAATCCTGAATTGAAGCCGTCTCTCATAGCGTTGTTACCATATTCCTCAGCAGTATGGTCTTTAAAATTGCAGTTTCTTTTCGGCTTTTTAGTTCTTTGAAAAATTCGTCCAGAGACTCTCCCGGCTTCTGTAGTTTTGTGGCCAACAATTATCTTGCGAACAACTCGTTGGGCGTTTTAATAAAGAAAGCGTCCAATTTTCTTATAGCCACATCGAAGTTTGCACATCCTTCGATATACTCAAATACACTGGGACTTATACAACTCAATAGAGCCCAGTATTTGTTTCGTATTCTTTCCTGGTAATCATCAATATAGTTTAGTAGGATAGTTCCCCATTGGCGGTAGTCTCTGGAAGCTGTTGGTGAACAAGTTTTAAGATCCAAGTATTTTGGCTTCCATGCTAGATTTTATCTACGCGTTTAGTTGAATAAATTTTAGTAATTGTAAGAGTAAAGTGCTAAGCTCTATTCAACTAAATGAAACTCAGCTACAAAAGGAAAATAGGAGTTACAAGTAGACAACTAGGGTGAGTCCGTTGCTTGTACATAGTGAACACTACTACTACTACTACTACCACAGAGTGACTATATCAAATCAATTACTTCATCTACTGAAAGGAAAGTTGTTCATTGTGTTGCGCCAGAAAATACATGTTGCACATTTACAAATCTACTATTGCTCAGTGCATTAAATACCATTGCCTTATCTGGTTTGGAATTCCTGTTGTACATCTTGAGATTCTTGACGATATCCAAAGAAAAGTCTGTAATGTAATTGATCTTGACCAGGCATCTTGACTTCAGTCACTTTCTCACTAACTTGAGATGACTTACCTTTGTCTGTTTTACAAATATTTTCATGGTAACTGATTTGATGTGTTTTTTCCCTGGTGCCCCGATTACATGAATTTAAGTGTGGCAACTAGATCTCATCATTTTAGTGTTGAAATAACTAAATGCAGCCGACACTTATACTTTAACAGTTTCTTTTCTCACACTTCCCACATGTGGAACTCCATTCTAATTTCTTGCTTCCCTGTTATCTACAATCTTCAAAAATTTAAATGCAATGTCAGTCACCATCTTCTGTCTTCTTGAATCCTGTTCCTTTTTGTCCTTTCTTAATCCTCTCCATTCTCAATCTTCTCATTCACTTTCAGTTCCTGTAACCTTTTGCATTCTAGTGGCATTACCACCTCACTTGGGGTGAAATGTATTTTAAGAAACGCATTTTGAGACATAACATTATTTTATTTTACTTTTTTCTATTTTCTATATTTGTGTATGGTCTTGTGGATTTTATTTCCTCTCAAAGTAAAGGCTAGAGCAGAAGAAACCCTGGTTGAATCTCAGCCACTGACCCTCATGAGAAGGACCATTCTGATGTCTTCACATGTTTTTGGTGGTATGCCTCATGGTGTGTAAATACCAGAAATAGGTGTCACACTTGTGAGGTTAAAATCCATGAAAATAACACATACAAACCTTGTAACTTTTTAAATTTGTAATTGTATGAATTTTTTTAAAAATTGGATTTACCTCAAGCAAGGCAGTAAAGCCACTAAGACACTGGGTGTGGAAGAATTAGAAAACAAACATTACTAAGGAGTGAGATCAATAGAAGAGTGATCAGGAAGTCAGTAAATAATGATTGGCATTGCATTTTTTGAAGATCAAACTTAATTGGAAAGCATGGAGCTGGAAGAGAGTTCCAGAAGTGTGAGAGAAGAAACTCTTAGCATAGAACTTACAGTTACATCTAGCCAATGCAATTGTAAATTGATGAGATCTTGTTGCCAATCTAGTACTGCACTTAAACTCATAAAGTCTAGGTACAATAGCAAAGAGTTCATCTGAACAATTACTATGGAAGTATTTATGGAAAAGTCACAGGGAAGCAACTTTATGGTGGTGGGAAAGTGACTGAAGTTTTGATGCCAGGTCAGGACCAATAATATTACTGATTCTTCTTTGGATTTTATCAAGAATCTATAAATATATGACAGGAGCACTGGGCGCCATATATGGTAACAATATTCTAAGCATGAGTGAATGGTAGAGTTATAGATCTGCAAGAGAAATTCTGGAGGGAAAAATTGTCTAGTGAACAGTGAACCAACTTTCTTAGCAACTAACCTGGATTCACTATAGTCTTTCTATTTCATGTCAGCTGAGAATGTTAGTCCAATAAGGCACAACAAGTCCCTCTCTTGGAGGTTAGCATCAGCCATGCTGATGGAAGGC